AAAGCAACGGAATTCTTACTCCTGCTCACTCACGCCAAAGAACTCTTTGCTCAAGTTCCCCGTCTCTGCAAGATTAACGTTGGCAATTTTCACGCACAGCTACTAGAAGATTTACGTCTGTCAGACAGGTTGCTCACGTCATCAAGCTTAGTTTGAGTCTGCGCGTCAGGAACGAAAGTGCTCAAAAATCGCTAAAAATGGGCTTCAACTGTCTCAACTGAGTTCCAATGAGATGGCTCTGTCACTTCTTATACTGTCTATGATTGAGAGTGACAGTCACTCATTTCGGTCTTTTGTCACGCACTCCCGCGACACATTGTATTTCTCACGCGGAAAAAAATATTTATAATAATTTAATATGCCTGCAGCGCTCAAGTTTCTCTGGCCGCGCCACTATCACTATGGAACCGGCAGGAATCAAGCGCGTCTCGAGGAAGTTCATGCAGTCGTGTCCTCATATAGGCAAATAAACAGCTCGAGCGTCACACGTGCTTCAGCGTGTGTGTTAAATGAAATTGCGCGTCGACTGCACCATTCATTCACACTGAGCACGTATTCGTATTTAAATAGTATTATTGCGGGGTATAGTATTATTACAAAACAGGTAGGGGAAACACTGAGTTATTTGCAACTTGTGAAGCTTGTGAACATATTAGCAACACAGCTATGACAGCGCTCGGTTTTATTGTTGTCATCAAATAATACAGGTCTTAATTACATTACATTTGGCTGACACATTTTTACATTAATACATTATGTTGTCAATAAATTACCTTTATCGGTAAGTTTTGGCCACTACCTGACATCATCTACCCAATGTTCCCTTTCACCAGACATTTTCTTTCATGAGCAGGATCCGCTTTCATAGAAATGTCATTAGAGGGCACCGGCAAGTGTCACACCGTCACCCTGCAGGCCCGCAGTAATGGCGGCAGGCAAGATGGTGGCGCCTATAGAGTTCGCGGCGGATTTGTGTATAGATTATCATGACAGAATATGCTAATCAATGACTAGAAGATAACTACACATCAGCAATATAAATTCATCAACTAACCAATCAGAAATGTCCTGTTGCATTCTACATGTTGTCACTTCTTCTTGAGTCTCTCCATCATTGTCTGACTCCGGTTTGAACATAAAAGGCTAAATGTTTTTGTGTGTCTGTGTGAGGTAATTGGAGGGAGCTGCTAACACTAACACAAGCTCTTGAAACACAGCAACTCATTTGCATTTAAAGGGACAGACACAAAAACAGTGCGTTTTTGCTTACCCTCAAAAAGTGACAATTTTAACATTTTAACAATTTCTGTTGGGTATTTTGAGCTAAAACGTCACATACACACTCTGGGGACATCAGAAACTTATTTTACATCTTGTGAAAAGGGCATTTTACTATTCCCTTTAAGTTGTTTGGAAGCTCATAGAGTGAGTTGGATTATAGTTGCTGTGTTTTGTTTCAATTTATTGGCATAGCCAAAAGTTTGTTTGCAAATAACTTTGAGCAATTTATTTTATTTTGGTTTGTTTTGTCTTCTTTTTTTAATTTGCAATGTAAATACCATTTGCACTCTATTGGAAAACCTTTATTTTTTCGCTTATTGGAATAAACACTGAACTTTTGACGTCATCATCACGTCAATTATGTTTACGCCTCCATCTGCACATTCAGAGCAGAGCTGCCACTGTTCGAAACATCGTTGGTGCCCTCAGCTCTTTGTGGCAGTTGGCAACTTGGCACACTCTGTCTCTGTTACAGGTATGCTTATATTCAACTTGACCACTTCCTGCAAGTTGAATAAAGTGGAACAAAAACAAAAGTGAAGACTTTTTTTTTCATGCTAAAGCTTTCAAACTTCAAAAAGCATCATAGGCCTACCATAATAGTAGACTCATGCGTCATATTCCAAGTCTTGTGAAGTCATTCAATAGCTTTAGGTCAGAAATTTCCAAATTTCATTGTTCACTGAAAATAAACTAATAGGGGTGCACGATTCAGAAAATGTCACGATTCGATTCGATACCGATTTTTTGTCTCAAGATTCGATTCAAAATCGATTCTCGATTCAAAAAACGATTCGCAGTATATAAATGTAGTTTACTTTTTCCTATGTGATTGATTGCAGTAGACACAATTTAAAAGAAAAAAAAAACACAACAAATTTAATGTAGTTTGATACTTTATGTCTTCAAACAAAAATAAAAACTTTTGCAACTAAAAAGTGCAAAGTGCCAAGCTTTGGCCAGCTTTCAAATACATTTAATTCAAGTTTAAAATAAAACTTAAATAAAAAGCTTTTACATTTAGCTTTAAAGTGCTGTAGTCAGATCAAACAAACAATTATGCTAAATGTGGTTTAAGGACTACTTCAGCTACCAGGCTGACTGTTGAAATGTGAACTCGACTGGGCACATTGAACTTCCTAAAAATATACTAATGTCATAGAACCCTTGCGAAATAATTTTAAATAGATTTTAAAAAGCCACCGCTACTGGTAACATCTATGGTTAGATTGATTTCTTTAGATCCAGTGAAGTCGTTCATAGGCGTAATTTGCGGGTATCTCCAGTTAACTAGCAGAGCATTTATTTAGTTCGCTATTAAATAAGAGATCTGTTGTTTTTGAAATCAAGCTGAGCGCTGTCAGCGCTTGTTGTCGCTGCTATCAGTGTCATGGATACAGTGTTCTCTGTGGCTCACGCAGTCTTCACTCGGACGCGCGCTTCATATCGCCGTTGTGGTTCCGGTGAAATCTCAAAATAAAATGCACACAAACGTGATGAACATATTCGGTTTAGAACCCGTAACCTCTGACACGCTTGGCAAAAGATCTACAGACCATTAAGAACTCAAACATAATCAGCGGATCGATGCATTTATTCACGGGTTGAGCAGAGAGGCTGCACAGTTTGACCAGCGGGCGGCAAGAACTTGCAATGTAACTATTTATCAGACCGGCCCTCGCAGTCTCGAAACACTACCGAACCACCGGTAAAAGTCCCGACTCACCCGATTGCCACTCCGCCCGTGCACGCCATAAAAAAAAAGAAAAAAAAAAGAAAAAAAAGAATCGATTTTTGGAATTCTATGAATCGATTCTGAATCGGTAAAGATTGAATCGCGATTCAAATGTGAATCGATTTTTTTTGCACACCCCTATAAACTAAAATGATCTGCTCTAGCTCTCCTTGAGAGTTCATGAAGTAGGCTAAGTGATGACTGATTCATGAACGAATCATTCAAATGGGCTTGCGAACAGGACTAACAGTTTGTTGAAAAGAATGAACTCAACAATTCATTCCCAGTTTCAGGGGTATTTTTCTACACTGTAAAAAAAAAAATTGCTGCCTTAAAGCAATCAACTTGGATTTTTAAGTAATTTCAACGTAAATTACATTAAACTGACTTTTTAAATTTGAATTTTTAAATAATTTTTACTTATTTTAATGAGTAAAATTAGTTAATGAGTTAAAGCAATGTCAAAACATATGTTGTCATAACGTATTGATCATACAATTTTTACATTTTACCATGATTATATCAATTCTGTTGTCGAGAAAAATTATTTTAAGCTTTGTAGTACTAGATTTGGTTCATGTAAGTAATTCAGGTTTTTAAACTGATCATAATATAGATTTGAGAACTGATGAATGCTCAGTGTAAAATGGAACAAGATTGCATGCTGAGGTTTTCCTGTTTGAGTGGTCGATTGTTTTCTGCTGTGTCTGTGGTGAATATCATATCTTCTTCTGTTATTAATCATCACTTCTTATGTAAGTTCTGAGAAACAATTGATGTTCTGCCTTGTCACGATGAGCGTGATGCTATACTTCTTATGTAAGTTCTGAGAAACAATTGATGTCCTGCCTTGTCACGATGAGCGTGATGCTATACAGAAGATGAAGAAGTAGTGTGTAGTAAGATGCTTTGATTTTGAGACCTGCATTCAAATAATTTAAGTCATTTAAGTCAAGAATGTCCTGTAGACTTCATTTTGATTGTTTTACAGAGTGTATTTCATTTTTTTTTAATCTAATTTTACTACTGGAACACGTGGATTTGATATAAAATGAACTCAATGGACTACTATTTTAAATTCAGAGAAGACAGCTGTAATGTACAGCATACACTGTGATTTTTGGAGGTAAATTATTTTTTCTTCTTGCTATTTCAAATCAATTAACATACAAATTATTGTATATTAAATAGCAGATTTGATTAATCAGTGATATGGAGAAGTACCAGTATTTAAAATTGTCTATTAATAAGATGATTTTACAGCAATTTAATGCTAAAACAAGCTTTTTAGAAAACAGCAACAAGTGTAAGACTGAAAAAAGTATTTTTTGAAATTCTTGAAGCATGAAATTCTCTAAAGTAACTAAAGGTAAAATGCTCAAACTTGCCAAACTAAGCTCTGTTAATTTCTATATTATTGTGATTTAAAAAGAAATCCCACCATGGATTTCTCCTTTTTTAAAGCTTAACAATAACAGGAATATAATTGTTCCGTATCACATACTTGTTACTTATGACTGGTATGTTAGTTTTATTTAATTTACATGCCATGCTGTGTAATACGTTCAGACGCTGAAGGTACAATAAAGCCCAATGACACTTGTAACTTTTTCTGTTTGTTTATTTATTTATTTATTTTTTACCTTTTATGATTATTTTTCATTTCTTTTATGTAAAACACTTTCGATACCATTTTGAATGAAACGGTAGTACAAAAATAAACGTTGCTTGCTTTGCCTATTTTTGCTGTTGATGCTTTTATATGTTTGGTACAGTAGCTGATGAAACATATTAAACATATTAAATCATCCAATTCTTTTGACAAGTATATGAGGGTTTTAACTCATTGGTGATTTTCACATATGTACGAATCCACAAAACGTCACGATTTAGTCACATGTGTAATTATCCGGAAGGATAATATTTATATGCAGTTGGTCAGTGATTACGATTGTTGAAAGACAATCCACAAAAAAAACACCAAAAAACTGTTCATCATAATATTTCAGTAATTAATTGTTTTTATACAACATCTTTTATTAGACAGCTTGGCTCAGATTGTCAACATAATGGTAAGGCAAAACTAGCATTGAGTGCTAACACTGTGCTAACAAGTGCTTTAAAAAAATCAAAGATTGGAGTTAAACATTACATGTTGTATATATTCTAGAGTCTAGACTGTACAATTTGTTTTCCTTTTAAAATAGTAATAATGTTTCTCATTACATAAGGGTAAAACTTGCTGCAAATTTGTTCGAGAACAACCTTCGGAGAAATACACTCTCTTGACGGAAGAGGATGTGACTGATGAATTATTGAGTCAATCTCAGGTATATAATTCATATAGAGTTGAATTATCATATAGAATTATTTTAGGATTTTAGATAATCTCTACAAATGCCTGCATGCATCTTTCAGATTTCTGTCCAATGTAAGGAGAACCCCGAGGGTCGAGATGGAATGGTGGTATTTGACATGGAAGCCTTTCCCATGGTCAACATCCTCTGTGGAGAAGATCTTCCTAAAGTCAAAATAAACAACAGTAGCTTTCTGCAGATCTGAATTTGAAAGCTTCACATCAATTTTGTCATGGAAATGTCTTGACATTTTGAATAATTAAAAATTTAAAAATAAAATTTGGTCATTTTTTGTATTTCAGCCGTTTTATTCAGTATTGCTATACTTCCAGCTAATACCATCAAACTGGTCTTCAATCATCTCCTCCATTGGCTGCCTGTAACTGTCCACATCAATGCCTCTGGTGTGTAGAGGTAATTTTAAAACTAACATTTTTAACATGTTTAAGTTAAGTTAAGTTAAGTTTTAACCCAGAAAATTTGAAAAGTGACCCAGTAACTTTGTTTTGGTAAACCTTTCTCTTCTAGCATGTAAAAAAAATAAGCCTATCAGATTTCGCTCCCCTTCTGACTAGGAAGGGTATCTTATTATAATATTACCGCCCCTTAATCTGCACGTTTCCACCCACAGCTCTGCCATTCGGTGTTACCAGTTCTAACTCAATGGCAAAATTTCCAGCAAACTGTTCTGTCGTTGCTCCACAGACGAATGCAGAACACTACTTGACCAAAAAATGTCACAGCTGTTTTATAAAGACCTCATGGAACTAACATTGTGTAAAAGTTAAACATTTCGGTACATGCAAGTCGATGAGATGAATCAGTTAAGTGGTCGACCGATATATCGCCAAGGCCGTTGTATCGCCAAGGCCGATATATCGGCCGATATTTGTCTTTTTTTAAAATATTGGCATTGGCCGATAAGTTTTTCTGATTGGCTGATGTGTTGGAAGCGGGACTTTTGACGGCGCTCCAGACTTTTAGTTTGACGGGTAATGAGAAGAGAATGGCAGCGCCGGATCACACAGCGCTCACTCACATTCTCCGTCTTCATTAGTTTACGATCTCTGTCAGTCATCTAATACTTTGTTAGACAGAACAAAGAAAGAAAATGGTATGCGAAAAAGTAAAGTGTTGCTTTTATATTATTTGTAACAGAAAAGGCAAACAATCATGCTAAAATAATTTCTCATTTACCGTCAACATTCATCAAATGCGCATCTACATCATTTAAACAAATCTCTGAATATCTAATAAACATTTAATTTCACAAACCTTGCAGATTTAATCAAATCCAGCTGTGATATCTTGTGAAGTGTGCATTGTAGCCTGCATAAACTGCGAGTGACGGTCGGTCCGTGCGAAGTGAGTGAATGTGAACAGAAGATCAACAGGAGACGCGATCGAAAAACTTTAAATCCTTCATTTTAAAATATGCTGTGCTATATATCTAGTTGCCCAGTGCCATGTCATATTCATATCGTTTTCACTGTGTGCTGCATGTAAAATTAGCGTTACCTTGTCTTTATTTTTACTTCATGGAAGTTGCACTAATACATTTTTTTTACTTTAATATTTTTATTGTGTGGTAACCGTTTTATAAAAGCAATAAGGTACTCGAGGCAAGTGCTGTATCGTGAATATAAGTAACGGCTGAAGGGGTTGCAGGCACTCCGCGAACAACGCCCTTCAGCCGTTAATTATTCACGATACAGCACAGCCTCTCTACTTTATTGCTTACACACACACACACACACACACACACACACACACACACACTTTATATCTGCAATCGGCCACCCTGCTCTCTAAGATATCGGCATCGGCCATCAAAAAAAACAATATTGGTCGGCCACAACTAGGCTATATAAATGTATCCACTAACCATTCCAGACTGATCTCATGAAATGGCGTATGTATGACACGCCAATTCGTATTTCCATTTTTGGCGTGCTATCAACACGCATAATCGCTTTTCAGCGTGTTTATCAACGCCTTTGACTTAACGTTATATTACTGTATTATGTATATATAAATATATGACCTACCCCAACCCCGTCCCTAAACCTACCCGTCACTGGGGTTAATACCATTTATGAGTCTTCTCCTACCATCCTAGGAAAAGAAATATCGCTCCACAGATGTAGATATAGATTTTGCTTCGTTTCGCTCGGACATTTAACGGCGTACACATACACGCGGAATCACTCGGACATTTAATGGCGTAGACATACACGCAAAAGATTTCGGCGTGGACATACACGCGGATATCTCAAAATGCGTATAGATAACACGCCACTTGAATTGAAAGTGGCGTGTATGTTTACTAGGGGTGGAACGGTACATGTATTCGTATCGAACCGAAACGGTACGGGAGTCACGGTTCGGTGCACGAATTTACACGGAGAATACACGGTATAAAAATAAATAAAACTCGCGTGCAAATTAATTAATGTAATGCGGAACTACCGTTAGATACGCGGGTTCTTTAGGGACACATAATCTGTACCATCGGCTTAGCTCTGAACGCGCGTTCACTTCAAACGTTCGCTTTATACGCGCGTCCTATTCGCTTTGGACTAGCGTCGAACTAGACGCGAATTTGACGCTCTATTCGTGTTTGGTGTGACCGCATAATGAAGGCTGCGATGTCAAGATTGCAATGCTGGACTGTGTCTGTGTGTGTGTGTGCGCGCGCGCGAGAGAGAGGCGAGATCGAACTGTGTGTGTGTGTGTGTGTGTGTGTGTGTGAGACAGAGAGAGAGAGAGAGAGAGAGAGGCGCGCGCGACCGAACAGTGGAAACATAAAAAAAACATACTCCGTAATTTTGTTCATACAGATCATTAAACCTGCAAAGTGTTTAGCCTAGGCCTACTTATATTTGTGTACACTCGCAATAAAACACAACATTGTGCACACTGTAAACTCTTACTCAAACTGTAACCTACAACTGTCACTCAACCAAAATCACACACACACACACACACACACACTGTTTTAAAAGAAAAACATATTTATCCGACTCCATTTCAAAACAGTCTGTGGGTCCCATCTTTTGGACATTCGTCATATTGCATTGGTTTTCATTTCTCGTCCTCGGAGCACTAATCTTACACATTCTACACTCATTGATTAAAAAAGAAAATCGAATGTGTTTTTAATGGTAGTATTATTTTAACAGAAATCAATTATAATTCAGATGAGAATAATGTTACATTGTTAATTAATAATTAAAATTAAGGAAAACAAATATATTGATCTGAAATATAGCAAATTAATTTTAAATTAATTCAGGTACAATTACCAAACATATCGCAAGGTCTTTTTGTCTTTTCATTAAAATAATTAATAAACTAATTATATAAAACTATTGTCAGTGCACTACAAATAAACTGGTTCTATGCCTTTATATAATAAAACTTATTTAAAAAATACAATGCCTTCTGCATTTTTGTTTTGCTTTTCCCTCCATTGTACCGAAATCGTACCGAACCGTGATGTCTGAACCGAGGTATGAACCGAACCGTGACTTCTGTGTACCGTTCCACCCCTAATGTTTACGCAAAGTCATGATGTCATGTTGACCATTCAGAAATGTCCAGGTTCAGTCCAAAGGCAACTTCTTCCTAAGTCTCTCCGTAAGGCTGCACTCCGCTACAGGTTATTTTTGAGATTTTGGATGAGATTTGCATGTTTTGTTTTTGCAAGTATCTGAAGCTCATGTAAAGCATCGACCCTCTTCTGAACGGGGCAGTGAGCAGCAGCTCATTTGCATTTAAAGGAACACACACAAAAACTGCTGTTTTTTTCCACAAACCATCAAAGGGGCAAATTTGGAAATTTGACAAGCTATAATAAATGATCTGGGGTGGTATTTTGAGCTGGAATTCTGGGGACACCATAGATTTATATTACATCTTGTGAAAGGGGGAATAATATAGACCAAACTAGTTAACTTTGGTTTCTTTCTACAGGCCTTACATTTAACATTTGAAAATAATAATGTATCAGCAGTATTTTTTAGTGACGGTTGTAGTTTTAAAAAAAACTCTGAAGATATCCTGGCTTGACAGTTTTTCTGCATTTAATTGTAGAAATTAAATGTATTTTGTTGATTTTGATGATTCCAACATCGAAATTTTCTTTACCGGTAACAGAAAGTGTGGGTGGATGCTGTTTTGCACTGATTAAACCAATCAAATACGAGAAAAATTACACAATGATCACGGGTAGTATGTCATGTTATTTTTTGCTGTGTACTGTATTTCTATCATTTAAACTGTTGTATTTTTGATGAAGCTGAGATTCTCTGAGATTGTCATGAGAACTCACTAGAGATCTTACTTCTATTTACAAATTATAGTGTTATAGAAAAATGGACGAAATGTCATCCAACTCGAGGCGGTTATCGACTAGTTATTTACTATATAATGCCAATAGGTACACATTCACAGAAAATAACTTACTTTTACGGTGTAAATATCCTTCCCTGTGGGGCAAACAAGTGGAAAAGCTCATGGGAAAACATCTAGGTTACGACTGTAACCTGTTTCCTGAGAACAGGGAACGAGACACTGTGTCGATGACGCTATTAGGGAACGTCCTCCACGTGAACCGGTGTCTGAAAGCTTATCCAATCACGGCGATTGTATTGACCGGCGACAGCCCATGACGTCACTACCAGTGAGACCTGGAAGTATAAAAGGGGTGCCTAGAGAACATGTCATCCACTTATCGTCTGAGGCATGGCTAGCTAGAGCCCGAAGCCATTTGTTTTGAGAATAATGGCTGGCTGATGAAGTTATTGGCTGGCTAGCCGGCTCAGCCAAAACCTAAATGGCTGCTGCAGCCGCCAAACTTTTCATAGCGGCAAATGGCTGAAGCAGGTCATTTTGATAAAACGGGCTTTAAAGATTTATCATCAGCCAATGAGATCGCGCATTCAGTCTTTTTACTTTCACGATTGGTTGCTGATAAAAAGGAAATTACCATATTTGAATCCAACAGGATTGTACAGAAGAGAGAGAGAGCTTCCTAACGGTGCATGTGATGAGAGGGTGACGGCAGAGATCGCGGAGAAGTATGTTGATTAAGAACGCAAACTTTTGTTGAATTTATGAGAAATCTACAGACGCAAACAGACGAAGTGTAGTAAAATAAAGACCTAAATGTGTATTTCGGACTTTTTTTCACCACAAGTCTGAAAGAAGACATGTTATTGAAGACAAATATCCAAAAATCTCAATATTGACCAGTAAAAAAAACC